CTCCCCCAGTTTTTAAATATTAAAAAATCTGTATCTCATTCACCGTTCCCCAGTTTTTCGTCAAACAACTTTTTCTGTCTTAGAAAAATCAGTTCTACAACATATCAAAAAATTGTTTTCCCGTCCGGAGCCTGACTTGAAGTTTGTGTAGCTTTAGTTTGACATTCAACTGGACCAAATAAACGGAGAGATGAAAGCTTATAATAATAATAGGTCTCATATATACGAGGCCCCGTTAGGCATACCTTTTAGCATGACTATGAGATCTCGGCCTGTGAGTTTTTTTTTTTTCAGTTACATTTGTAGGTGGTCTATATAAGGTTGTTTGAAAAGTAACACTTAGAATAAAACTGCCCTTCGCTTTAAAATTGAGTTTAATAGGCCTATAATTTCTATATAGTTTAGACCTAAGTCGATCTGAATGGAATGTTTATGTTTATGTGCTTCTATACATTATTGAATACTGAGCCTTCGTAAAACGATCAGACAGAACTGTCAAGTCTATTATATCCGACAACACGTACATAACACTAACAGAGTGTGTTTTCACCTAATATATTTGCGTTTTTCAGCACATGATTACCAACAGGTTGTGTGAAGTACTGCCTAATTGGCGGGTACATTACTCGCAAAGTGACACTTTCTTTCGCCAGTTCGTTTGTTTAGCTGCTAGGAAAAAATCTACACTAAACAGTCGGGGGTTTGATTGTTCAGGCCACTGTGTCCTCTAGCTTCCTCTAGGCGGCCTCCTCAACAGTTGCTTGTTGAACTGACGTATAAGGACACTGTAAAGGCCGTAGGCAGATGTGGCAGGCGTTGGCTACATCATTATTTCCATATCGGGCATTACTAATTCTTAAAGACTACATTTCAATTAAGCAATCTATAAAAAGCGTAGTTCACTTTTAAATCACGTGCCATTGCGTCATAAATTAATCCAACTAGTTGTTCACATAACACATGACAAAATGTCAAGTCATTGAGAACACCTATTACCACCACAATCCCTTTAGCTTTTATACTACAGTTAATTTACTGTATTTTCTAGAAAACCTTCCAAACATGGATTGGTGCACTTGGATCGCAATAATATTTAATTAATCAATTAATTAATTTTGTTAAAAATCGTAGGCCCATCCTGATATTGATTTACAAATATACATCAAAGTGCAATGCCAATTCAATTATCATGATATTAAACAGATCTAGAATTTTCCGACCTATTTTTCATCGGATTACTATTGGGCGTTTAGCATTGACTAACGTTTAAAAAATTTTACTCATTTTGATATGGATACAATGTAGATATGCATGCATAATCTTATTTAATATTCTACCGCAAATTTTTAAAAATCCGTAATAGCAATCAACTGGAGAAAATTAAGCCCATTTGATGCGAGGTCTAGTTTCCAAAAAAATAACTAAAATAATGTAAACACCATCAGCTGTGGCGTCCATTAACCTTTTTCTCACCGGTTTTGCTGCCAACTGAATTTTTGCCAAAAAGGCCCTGTTTCAAAAAAATATCCATTTCCATTATATTTAAGTATACGAAACGTTATTAAAAAAAAATCGTTACCAATATAAGGCCTATTACAAAAGCAATGATACGAATAAGCCTAACAATAAATGATAATAAGTATTAATAGCACAATTATTAGATTACCGCATTATAACTAATCTATACAATATCAATGATAATAATTAATAGTAGTATTTTTGTTTGTATTCAGATGTTAGTCAAAACATAAAGCATTGGATGAATTAATAGTAAGCTTCCTTATAACACGTTTGTTGTATATATTTATTATTATTATTATTATTATTATTATTATTATTATTATTATTAATAATACTTTTATTATTAATATCATACAGCTACTGTATTATAGGCCTACTTATCTAGAACCTATTGTTTATAATCATATCATAAGTTCAACCAAATAGGAGCTATTATGGTATTCTCTTTGTTATTATTCTCATAATTATCATTATTATATTAAATTATAACATGGACCATTAATTCTAATCAAATTTATGAGTTGTGAGAAGCGAATTAGTATTGAATTAAGTTCAATAACGTCGTCGCACTAGGTGAATTATACAATAGGTTTACGGATACAGGCGGGCTAACGGTACCGGACTGTCTGTAGTAAAATATGCACAACCTTTTAGAAATTAAATTAAATATATTATGTAATTGTTCGTTTACAATTACCAAGTATCCTAAAGACACTGATGGTTCAATTGACTACGAGTCAATATTAATGGTCTACGGAAGGTGTCGGTGTTTTTCCGGAGTCTAATTTTAGCTTACCTTGCACTATCACACTGTCACAAATTAAATAATTATTATATGAATTGTTTAACTTAATTTAGTTCAACACAACCATGGATATCAATGAACATCACAACGATTAGGCCTAAATCAAATGTTTAAAAAGTAGCTCAAATCTGGCGTATTTTTTAAAGGGCATAAACAGGCATATGTTTAAGTAAGTAATAATAACTAAAAATTATAATTGACAGTAAATGATATTTGTTATATAAGCTCTTAAACTTTTCATTCGCCAATTGAGGGTATTACGAAGTACGGACAATGATAAGCAAAGTGATATTTGACTTTAAGAAAAGTAATTCATTCAAAAAGTCAGCGTAAAGCAAATGTGTGGAAAATAACGTTCTGTCCCCACCATTGAAAAAACAACAAGTAGGTCAAGAAGTGCCATCATTATCTTTGTTCCCGACGTGTTAAATGTTCCACCTTTTACCCCATAAAAATTATAAAATCAATTATAAAATCAAACTCCATAAAAATTATAAAATCACACTCGACATTACCACAGCATTATATTAGCATTTATACGACGGGGTTTACTGCGGACTGCGGTAGTAAATCATTAGAGAACACGTATACACAAGGGTGTACTATTCTATATACCTTCTTTATAAAAATCAAATGGATGTATGTTTTCATGTTATGACGTTTTTATTAATTCGTTGCCTAATGTGTCTAACCATACCTCCATGGTCTAACGTTGTTTTAAGGTCTTACAGTAAATCAGCTTTGTTTAATGGGTCACCCTGTCAAATGGTGAACCAGATATAAATAATTAATTTATACTAGTCAATGATGCTGGACATTTACTGTGTTCCTTACATGCCACCAAGACAGTACAGAGCATACAACAATGTAGCACAACATTTTAAACATCAATTGAGTGTATAAACTATATAATAAAAGTGTGTTAAAAGTTGAAGTAGATCGATTGACTTCATAAAGCGCCAAGTCAACATTTGTGAACAGGAGACGTTTGGTCAACTCTCCAGGCTACTTGTTAACCACTCGTGTCCATTCACTTACAAACGTTAGTAAATTACACATCAATACACCTTGTGTGTACCGGACAACTATTCGAGTGGGCATTCTTTGACCACAAACCGGTCAATAGCTAGAATAGAACATGAATAACAACGGATTACTCGTCATTGGATATATAGTTGTGCAACTCAATATAGGCCAGCATTTATCTAAAGATTTGGCCGATATTTTTTGTATGGAATTGAATAAGTTAGATTTTCTCCGGAAATATTAACTTCAGAATTTGATGTAGGCATAGACAGGTCCTGTAAAAACAGGATGATTTCGAATAATTTACATGGTTTTCGTTTTTGAGAAATTTACCAGGTCGGTTTATTACCTGTTAACCACAATCGAATAACAGGAGTAATCCGTGGCTTACTAAAATCGTGTGTTATGTCTCGGATGAGTTAGCTCCGATAAGTCAGTGAAAACTATAGGCCTGAATTTACTGACACATTCTTTGTGATGTACTGAGTGACTTGTATAAAATGGATTACAGTACATTTGACTTAGGTTGTTCACTTGAGTCCTTCAAAATGACTGCAAAGTCATTGAAACTATTCAACGGTCGATGCATTTGCGTTATAACGGTTCTCCTTTTCTGAATTAGTATTCTAAAGACAGTTATTATAATAAAACGCCAGCACGCTATATATTCAATTCCACACATCACAACACTTAAATGTATTTAGATATATTTTAGTTCATATATATCTATGAATCGTAGAGATACACCATTGCCTATGAAGAGGATAGAAATACAAAGCCTACATGTTAAATATAAATTGCGCACGGAATCCGTGTAATTTTTGTTTTGATCATCTATCTTAAAATTAGACTTATACTGGCATGGCATCTTTAAGAAATAAAACTTATCAAGAATCAATCTTATAATGTTATTAAAATCAGACAAAACAATATAATTCGACATTGTAACATATTTTTTTGCAATGCATCCCTATGTGTTTAGTTTTAGGCAACTTACCGTCTTCAAGGAAGCTCCGCACTGTATTAGCTCCATCTTTAAAATTCGGGGCAAAACCTTCCGAAATACCCTCAAGTTGTTGGTACAGTTGATACATAAAAGGAGGTGTCTTCATCCTTTTTCTTGGAGGCCTAGGTATTGTCCTAAGGCCAAACACATCCAATAAACGTCTCGTTTCAGCGTCGTCCGATTCATCTAATATCCTATCTTGAGATTCCTTTTGACGATTTCGCAAATGTTTCTGTATCCTTCGAACTGAATCCGGGTTCTTCGGAACCCTAGTCGACTCAAAGGGGATACTTAAAGACGATGAAAATAAACATATGAAAATAAAAGTACATACAATCCAAGCTTGTGAATCGTTTTTGGCCTGCATGTTCTTTTTTCTGGAGGCCTATAACGGATCTGTTTAAACTGTGCTGAGATAAATATAAGACTCAACGATAGGTCGCATGAATTAAAAAATAATCGACGGCACAAAGAACTTTCTGTAAAACATTTTGCAGAAAAAAAGTCTTTTAGAAACTGTTTGAGAAATTAGAACATCTCATTTTTTTCTCCCATAGCGGTGATGCTGCTTAATGAGTGCTTCGAAGATCAGCAATACTTATATACCACCGGTTCTAGTCCATGGTGGCGCTCTTTCGTCCATGCTCTCGCCACCATTGATTTGGTCGATAGTATTGATAGAAATTACGATTTCAAAGCTCAAATCCGACACATTTTAGGATTAAAGACAGACAGACCGTGGTCAGACCACGGTCAGACGAATGCCTGGGTTCGTGAATGATGGCGTCGACATTTTGTCGATAGTGAAGTGCGACTCGTGTTTGTCTCACAACATACCCCCATTATCCCAACGGATTAGGCATTGTTTTCAAAATAGACAACAAAAACTTCTCTAATGATCTATCAACGAGTCATCTAATTACCGCCATCAACACATTCATTAGTTTGAGCTAATATAACTAATTTGGTTTTTCTTTTTTGTGTTAATTTGCGGTAGTCTTTTAAGTGTAGGATAGTGATTACAGAAAACCTTTGAAGTTCTGCAAAGTTGGTTTGCAGTCTGCGTAGAAAGATACTAAGTACGAATGTCTGGCCAACATCATAACTTGAAAGGGCTCTAAACGACGAGGCTGTCGAATACAAGAGTTCCCTTTTTAATACGATAATAGTGCGTATGGAGACTGAAATAAAGTAATTATAACAGACCATTTCCATTTAACTATTAGCGTTCCTTTTTGTTTCTTGTTGATTGGACCGATTAACCAACCACACTAGGATTTAATAGAAAACAATTTAGAAATAATCATGTTTTACTGTTCTTGTAATTTAACCACATTTTAAACACTTTCATTAAATGTATTCGTCGTAATTCAAACGAATATTTCCTAACTATAGTTGTTTTTTAAAATTATTATTCTTGTCTATTAAATCATTATTTCATGTCAATCGGTGACAAAGACTGCATGAAGTGTATGCCAAATATTCGTTTGAATACATTTTTGGCTTTTACAATATGAAGGTTTTGCGCCCCTGATTATTTAACATCGTTACAGCACAAATTTCGATACACATGTGGATGCCTGGATTTCATGAAAACAACGAAACATATAAAAACAAAGAATCAATACATCCATTTAGATTAAAAACAGTGAACCATATATAAAATATGTAATATAAATATAAATATTTAGTTAAAGTTAACATTGTAATATTAGTTAGGCCTATATAATTATATAGTTATATATAGTTGTGGCTTAGTATTCTTACATGTTTTGTTAAAATAAAAAAACAGACAAGACGTACTGTACCAAACTGTAATTGTTATATATATATTTCTTATAGGCCCCTATTACGTAATATATAAGTATGATACATCGGAATGATGGGTGGACGTATATATATCCTGGTTAATGTGGTAAAGGAAGTCGATGAGAAAATCATACAATAGGCGATTGACATTAAAAAAAAATATAGGCCTACGAATACTTCAGGATCGAGCGCCTGCTCTCTTCTGCGTAATGCCTACCGTACTCAATATACATACAGTATATAATAAACTATAATAAGGAATTTAACGCTTTATCAACTATTAAACAACGATTGCAAACAAGTGATGCTATGAGAGATTTGTGAGCTACTAGAATTTTTCCTTTTTTTGCGTTGAGCGCTATTTTGATGTACCAGCGCTATTTAGCCTAATAATGTTATACCTGTCTATATACGCCTGGTATGTTTATGAAGAGTATATATAATATATACATGACTTTATATATAAAATAATAGGCCTAATATAGATATTTATATAGGAATATATTGCTCTGATATGTAAAAAATGTAAATCATAATATATTGCCGGGTATGTGCAAATAAGCCAGATTTATGTAAATGTACCTTTACTTCATCAGTTCTATACATTATAAACTGTGAAATGACATAAAAGTAATGAATTTAATATAATTTCGATGAAAACACTATTTAAGCTAATGTGTGAGAGACAATATTGCTATGCTTACGTCAGAACCGCCACAGGTCTTGGCGCGTCATTTATGCCTAACAAGCATAAGTTCCGCTTCAACCACCCACTTAAACATAATTGGAAGAAATTCATCTCTCTCAGAAATGAAAAACATTTGTGCAAAGGAGAACGATTTAAACTGCACTCCGGGCCAGTTGAAAGGGTTAAGCGTTCGTGATCTGATCTCAATTGGAGGTGACTGGACATCCGTGCGACTCTTCCCGTCTCCACTGGTAGTTTGCCTATGCTTATTACTTAGCATTTTTGTCCCACAAAATCGAAATATTCTCTTTCTGTATATGAAAATATCAGAAGCTCTGATGTGTGATGAACTGGTAGTGGTACGGTGGTTTTGCCTCTTTCTTTGGAGACATGAGGCCGCCGCTAACGTTATACCTCCTTTTCCTGGTATACTGAGAGAATTAGTTTTATACCTTTCTTGTGTGCACATAACTACTTTTGTTGCTAATGATTTTATCAAAATAAATAGAGAGGATAGCATTATCAATTATAATTAGCTTTACTTTTATATTTCTATTTAATTAGTCAATGATAATAATAATAATAATAATAATAATAATAATAATAATAATAATAATAATAATAATAATAATAATAATAATAATGATAAGAAAGTATAATACATACTCCAAGTATTGAAATACACGCCATCGTGTTGGGATTCAATATTTCGACATTAATTATGTCATCATCAGGAATGATGATGACATAATTAATGTCGAAATTAATTACGACATAATTAATGTCGGAATATTGAATCCCAACACGATGGCGTGTATTTCAATACTTGGAGTATGTATTATACTTTCTTATCTGAGATTAATCAGTGGACCTTTCGATTTCAATAATAATGATAATATCAAGGCAAATAGTATTATTATTTATTTTCACATTAAACCGATCTTGAAAAAAATCTACACTGGTAGAGTATAAAACGAAGTGCTATTTTCAAGTTACTTTTGTTGACTTTGAAGTCACTTCGATTTCATCAAGCTTCGCACTATATTCCTCTTCATCACCATCTTCGTTCTTCATCTAAAAATCTCTTGACTGTTCCGTCTTGTAAAGGCAAAACAAAAACTCTTCTTTTCAAGCCATCTTTACATGGCTTTGCCGCTTTCATTTCGATATTTGCCCTTTTTTTAAAAGAAAAATCTTTAAACCTATTTATTACAGGAATGTTAACTTGCCTATTTCCTCACTTAGCGCCTTTGATATAATTTGAAATGGCGCCTTATATATTATTTGTATATCATTATCATTATTATTATTACTATTACTATTATTATTATTATTATTATTATTATTATTAAAGCGCATAGAAACGAATGTTATGTGCTATACAAGTGTGTAGCCATTGACCAATATTAACAATTACAATGATGATGATAATAATTATCAATTTTATAAGGTAATGATAATACCGATAATGATATTAATGATAATAATATGCCTACTAATAATAAATGATGAATATTATATTTAAAAAATGATAATAATAATAATAATGATTACAGTTTAAAATTATGATGATGATGATGATGATTACACATGCTAACATGTAGTGAATTTAGTGTTGTTTCATTATTTTCTTATTGGGTGGCGTATAAGGCGACCCACGTATAAGACGACCCCCGAGTTTGAGAATAAGCCTATGTTTGAACAAATTTTGTATGTCGGGCGTACAGGACGACACCCTTGTTTCTATCGTCGGTATTCCTACTTTTTGCTACTATTTATGGTCGTGATTCTGCATCTAGCTGGCTAAAATCGGATACAAATGTAGGGCCAATCTCCCTGCAAATAATACCATTTTCCTCAAAATCTTATTCCCCAACATTTAAAACTTCGTTCCTTCATACTGAAATTTAGTGGGTTCATGTTAGTGTAGTAAATTGGCGTGTTACAAACACATAAGACGAACATGATTTAAAAATCAAAAGTGTTTTTGTGTTGCGCGTATAAGACGACTCCCTCTTTTTCGATCGTAATTAGCTATTTAAAAAGCCTCGTCTTATCGTGAGGATTTACGGTATTGACTTCTATTATTTTACATTTCATACTCTCCAATTGTAACTTTATGTAATGCTTCGTCCACAAAATTGAGCCTCATGGTGTTACAAAGATGTGCCCATATATGGGTTTGATGATGTCATATCATACCCATATATGGGGCATACGAACAAATGTCATGTACAAATAGGAATATCACATAAAATTGATAATTATAGTAATTAACTACAGGATACAGCGGCTTGATTATTAGTCGTGTTTTCTTTAATGATTAATGAATCAATTATATGCCCATATATGGGTTTGATGATGTCATATCATACCCATATATGGAGCATGCAAGTGTCATACAAATGGGAATATCACATAATATTGATAGTACGGATATAGCTTTATAATCATAGTAATCAAACATGATACGGCGGCTTGTTAGTCGTGTTTTCTTTAATGATTAATGAATCAAATATATATGCCCATATATGGGTTTAATGGTGTCACATCATACCCATATATGGGGCATGCAAGTGTCATACAAATGGGAATACCACATAATATTGATTGTGCAGATAGAGCTTTACAATCATAGTAACCAAACATGTGATACAGCGGCTTGTTAGTCGTGTTTTCTTTAATAGTTAATGAACCAAAATAATGTATGCCCATATATGGGTTTGATGATGTCATATCATACCCATATATGGGATATACAAATGCCATACACATATAGGCCTACATGGAAATATCACATAAATTTGATAATGTGGTCAGAGCGTTATAATCATAGTAATCAAACATGTGATACAGCGGCTCGATTATTAGTCGTGTTTTTTAATGGTTTGTGAACCATGATGCAGCCCCTGGTTTTTAAAGAATAAAATTAAATACTATTTTATACCGTGCTTGTTTTAAACCTTTGGCCCTTGTCTAACATTTTGAATGCAACGTTGTTCTTGTCGTAACTTACAGACAAATAGCAGAAAAAGACAATTTCAACATGTGATTTCTAGACACAAAGAACGGTCTCGGGAAATG